ATTTCCAACAAGGTGATTGCTGCATTTGAAGAATCCAAACGTGAGACGATGAACAAGGTATTTTTGTCACTACAGTGTGCAATGGAGGAGTCACTTGGTGTTGGTGGTGACAACACTTACAAGATTTGACACCTTGGCAAAGAAAAGCTTTCTCTTCAAGGGGAGCTTCCTGTTTCGATCACTTTTAGTGTACTCTAAAATTCTAATGGTAGTATTTTTGATAATGTTGTAACTGCTTATAGGTTGGATAGTTTTACTATTATTATGCAGTAAAAATGAATTAAAAAAATCCCTGGGGGAAAATTTTTCTTGGTGCCTAACATGGAATATGAGTTTTTCAAAAAATGCTGGAAAACATTTATGTCTTCGCAGGCGTTGCGCACCCCTCTAAATTATGTATGAAAATGAGCTAAAAATTTCTATTACTACGCGTTTTGTAACAATTGAATACGGTCGCAAAAGAGAGCAAAAAGTAATGATTTCAAGTTCTTAACTTCGATTTGAAGTTATCAACTTCAAAATGACCTGGTAGAAAGTCTACCAGGTTCTACTGAGCTACTAGTTTTTGGATTGCATTCATGATTGAAAGGCCAGATTCATGATTGGATCACCTCAATCGCCCTGGAACCATGTCGATTTCGATGTTTTTCGAAAAATTTAAATTCTCCGGTCCCCTTTTTTCTATTATGTGATCGGTTTTGATCACAAAAAAATGTGATCAGAAATGATCACAAAATTGATGAATTTCTTGATCACAATTTTTTGTGATCAGTTTTGATCACACTTTTTCCAATGGATTAGAATTAATATTTACTTTATCCTTACATTAATAATTATATTCGATTTATATGATTCAATTATATATATATAAATATTTATATTTATACATACTATACAGTCATGTATGGTCGCACGTCGCGTATACAGGACTGATATACTATTAGTAGTACTAGTACAAACATGTAAAAAAACTTTTATTATTTATATTAGGTTATTAAATTATTATATAAAAACGGGACTAGTACAAAATGTACACAAGACAGTTCGAATTTGTGATCAAGATTGATCACAAAAAACTGATCACAAATTTGTTATTTCTGATCACATTTTTTTGTGATCAAAACTGATCACAATTTTCGGTACCCAGAGGGGGATCTGGGAATCTAATTTTTTCCAAAAAATTGAAATCGACATGGTTCCTGAACCATTTKTTTTGTTTTGAGGGGAATCGTGATTCGGTCATTCAGTCATATTAAAAAACTAGCTCAGTAGTAGTATTTGTACGGGGATTGCCAATAAGTTGCGACTACAGAGTACGGGACTTCCCATTAATAGCTCTACTCCATTTATCCCTTCTCCCTTATCCCACCCAATTCCGAAAGAACTCGGAATCTGGAAAATCTCCGATATCAGCTGTTTGCCAGAGGTTATTATATGTGCGACCCAAAAACTGGCGATAATTTCAATTACTGTACAGTAAAGTACTTACGTCACAACCGTACGGTCACTGGAGTGAGAGAAAATAATATTTACCTACTGCACGGTATTTTGAACGCACATTGTTAGGTTAAATCATTCCAACACGGAAACGCCCTGAACGACTTGGGCTCATTAAAATTAAGTACATCTGTACCAAGATTTGAAGGAAAGGAGCTCGACTACAGAAGATTTGATAGTATGAAAAGCTAATATGGTGTGTTCCAAAGCTCATGCGTTATCGAACAAAAGAAAAGCTTCTCTCGAAGCAATCTGCCAATCCTTGAATCGTTTTTATGGGCTGCGAATTANGAGTTTTTCAAAAAATGCTGGAAAACATTTATGTCTTCGCAGGCGTTGCGCACCCCTCTAAATTATGTATGAAAATGAGCTAAAAATTTCTATTAGTATTTGTATGGGGATTGCCAATAACTTGCGACTACGAGTACGGGACTTACCTTTAATAGCTCTACTCCATTTATTCCTTCTCCCTTCTCCCACCCAATTCCGAAAGAACTCGGAATCTGGGATGTTCCGAAACAGAAAATTTCCACGTACACTTAGCTACCAGATCTCCGACTAGTGCGACTACAGTAGATTGTTGCTGCAATGTTTACGCTGTCTAAAAATAGGGGGATACAGGAAACTATTTCTTCAAAATTCGATTTTTTTTGCTACCAGAATTCGACAACAAATTGACTAGAAAAGGAATACAAACCAGATTTAAATCTGATTGATATCTAATTGATATCTGATTTAAAGTCGACTTTTGGTAGCCTTCCCAGAACCCCCATGTATAATTTATACTAGACCCGCAGTAGTACTACTATGGTACGGTATGATACTAATAAATAGTAAACGTACATGTATTTAATTTATACTATAAATAGATATGGCACGTGCTGCTAGGGTTAACACATACTGACTATATTGCTACCAAAGATCGACTATGTCTCTACCTTAAATCGACAATGTTTTTACCATAAATCTACCAGAAAAAAGCCAGAGAAATCTGACCTAAATGAAAATTGTTTCCTGGGACCCCCTCTTTTTTAATAGAGGTGTTGCGTTGCAGCAACAATCTACGGTAGTCGCACTAGTCGAGATCTGGTAGCTAGGCGTATGTGGAAATTCGCTGTTTCGGAACGTCCCTGGAAAATCTCCGATATCAGCTGTTTGCCAGAGGTTATTATATGTGCGACCCAAAAACCGGCGATAATTTCAATTACTGTACAGTAACGTACTTACGTACGGTACGGTCACTGGAGTGAGAGAAAATAATATTTACCTACTGCACGGTATTTTGAACGCACACTGTTAGGTTAAATCATTAAAACACGGAAACGCCCTGAACGACTAGGGCTCATTCAAAAATTAAGTACATCTGTACCAAGATTTGAAGGAAAGGAGCTCGACTACAGAAGATTTGATAGTATGAAAAGCTAATAYGGTGTGTTCCAAAGCTCATGCGTTATCGAACAAAAGAAAAGCTTCTCTCGAAGCAATCTGCCAATCCTTGAATCGTTTTTATGGGCTGCGAATTAAGATGCAGAAAATCGAGTTTTCCATTTGCTGGATTTTCCTAGTCGGCATTACGCCGTATGTTATCAACACAAAGACAGCCTATTCACTGATATGTCCGTCTATATTCTCCAATGCAGAGACTTACATTCGAGGGTCGGTTGCAAGCCGTTTGGTTGCCTACGCTTTTGACTTTGCCCGGGCTTTCGTCAAGAACGGAGAGAACGAGAAGGGAAGCAATTGGAGAAGATTTATTAGAAAGGATAGCGACCTTATTGCCCGTGTGCCAGGATGGTTGGTCTTTCATCATTTTGGTGTTTTTATTCAGCACGTTGTAATTTGTTTTCTCGTGAAAGACTCATTTCGGTGCTCGTGTGTGGATTATCGTCTTAGTGATAGCACTATCGAAGTTGATCGAAACACAATCATYGGCACTGAATTGAATTACCAGCTGCRAATTTTCTTCTCTTTATTGGCRATTCAGGCCTCACACAACACCTGGACAAAGTTCGTCATGCCGCCTATCATTTACTGGGGAAATGCTTTCGTGATTGGTGTACCTTGCAGTCTCATCTGTTTCATCCTRGTCATTTCAGCTGGGTGCATAGAAAAAAGTCAAGGCTTGSTGGAGTTGCTCTACGGTTTCGGGATGTCAATGACTTTGGTGGGCATGGGGAAATTAGTGACCATTAGTCTCGCACCAAGAATAGATGCGAGGAGAGGCAAATCAATTTTTGTCCAGCAGGAAAAATATGAGWGTCRAAACAACAATGATTGTCCGGARACCTACTTCGTTGCATCAAAGATGCGATTGGGGTGAGTGATTGGCACGAACAAGAGTCACCATGAGCAAGTGGACGTTTGAATGGGTATACTAGTATATATGGGGATGTTATCAGTGAGTAATCAATGAAGATAGGAGCAAATGGTGGTATTCAACAACCACAAGCAGCGGTTTGGAAAAGGCATCAGCAGCTGGCGCGGCCCAAAAGGATATTGAAGATTAAGAGGATCTTGTGGAACTGAGGATCCAGCTCCAGCACTGAAAGGTAGAAAGCAACGCGAAGAGGTGATGATGAAGTACAAAATGAGTGMATTCCGCCACGAGGGCCGTGATTATTAGGGCAAGGAAGAGAAAAGTATATGGCTCACTCAAGGCTCATCGTAATCCAACCATCTCAGCAACTAGAATAGACTATTGATATGAATGTAAACATGATTTGAATACGTATCGAGTTAAAGGACCGGAGACAGCAAAGTGACAGTATGCTGTCCGGGAACAACTGGGAATACCAGTCGACGGCTGTCGATAGGCTAAAAGAGAAGTTTTCTGCATTCATGATCCTTATCGACAACAGAAACCATCTACATTGGGTTTGTGTCAATATTAGAGTCGTTACAAATTGTGAGACAGGAACCGGTTTTATGTAACGAGCTCTTACTCTGTAGCACGAAAAAGTTGAAAAAAAWAAACCATCTAGATAAATACACGACGAATCACGTTAGGTTTTTCTGTATGGGATGATTGTTACAAGCGTACCAGTACGAGTACCGTACGGTACGGTTGCAATTCACTAAAGTATCTACTCGTGATTTAGGCTCACAACAGTACGTACTTGGTACCCTACTGCGCGCCTTTTTTTGTAATCAGGCCTACTTTTTTTGGTAATCAAACTACGGCACTAAAGTACTACGTACGGTAGTGTTGTGGCATCATGATCATCAGCGTCTGTCGTTGTCCCTCAGAAGTCAATGCATCAGAAGACCTTTCTTCTCTGCCTTCACTGGTGAGGAACGAGTGAATTTCAAATTGAAAATTGGAAAATAAGAAGAAAGAAAATCGTTTCTTAAATTTCATCTCATCAAAGGAAACAAATAGGTCGACGTTCCTGCCATTCATACCACCAGGAATAAGAAACGACSGAATTCAAGACAAAGGTCATCGCTTCTTCGAGAGGAAGGAACCTGCCCTAGAAAAGGAAGAGTAATTACGACCGAATCACATATCATTGTTGTCGCAACCAAGCCACCAGCAGCCAGGCCAACATCATGAAGACGAAGACTGTTGACACGATGCAAACAGCGAATGAAATTGCGGAGAAATCGAGTAAGAAACAGTCGAAGAGAGAGAAAAAAGCAAGGAAAGAAAAGAGGAAGCGAAAACGAAACGCCAAAAACGAAACGGAYGGTGATCGGATAGGTGTTGACGCAGATTCTGCCGAAAATGAAAGCGAAAAGGATTGCTTTYCCACTTACCAAGATGACGACAACATMAGCAGCAACAACAAGAAAGTGGAAAATAGCGACAAAAAGAAGAAGAAGAAGTCGAAAAAGAAAAAGAAAGGARAGAAGAAATCCAAAGGAATCAATAACGACAGAGATACTGAATCTAACGATGAAAAAAGTGGGTATGATTCTGCAATTCAGAGTACCGGCGATGGTCGTTTAGTGGCTTCCTCCGCTATTGAGTTTTATGACGATGATCTTAAAAAAAGAGCAAAGAAGCGACAAAAGGTTACATTGAGCAACAAGATAACGACTGGGGATAATGCAGAAAATGACACTGGATTGGAAGAGGCCCTGAAAAAGCAACGATCRAAATCGAAAAAGAAGAAACGGCATCGCGACGACGACAAGGCCGAACGCGAAAAGGAACTGAAACAACGTGACGAACTRGACAAGGTTTTGATTCCCGAAAAGAAACACATCCATAGCTTGACACTTCTACTGTTTTATCAGTATATAGAGCCGGAATGGGATGATGAAACCCACGAAAAAATGCTCCGCAACCTTCAAAAGATTGGAACCACCCTCGAATTGACTGGCCGAATGCGATGCGCAAAGGAGGGCTTGAATTGTACTTTAACGGGGACTCACTCAAATATTTTAGAATACACTAAGGCCCTTCGACAGTTACGACCCAAGGAATTCTGCAACACTGAATTCAAGTTGACAACGGACCTGCCCCTGGCTCAGAAATTTGGCGAGTTGAAAGTTCTTCCTGTCAAGGAAATTGTTCGTTATGGTCTAGATGGCGAAAAGGCACCACCTATCCAGCAATATAGTGGGGTCCATCTCGAACCCAAAGACTACCACAAGAAACTGGCCGRGTCCAACACTGTGATCATAGATGTTCGAAATCACTACGAGGCTGCAATCGGGCGATTCGTTCCCCCTACGAAGGATGACTCGGGCGCGCAAACAGACACAAAAGCGACAGAAGGCCCAAAGTGGATTGATCCAAAGATGCGCAAGTCGACAGAATTCCCGGCSTGGCTTGACAAAGAMGAGACCAAGGAAATGATGAAGGGAAAGCAAGTCCTCATGTACTGCACAGGTGGCATTAGGTGCGAACGAGCTTCMGCCCTCCTGAAGTATAAGATGGAAACAGACGAATCGGTCAAGGATCTAGGCATCAAGGGCGTGTTCCAACTTCAAGGTGGAATCGACAAGTATTTCAAGGAGTTCCCTGACGGTGGCTACTGGAAGGGGAAAAACTACGTATTTGACAAGCGCTTTGCTCACGCGCCACCTAAAATTGACGGCGAGCTACACGGTCGCGTTATAGACAAGGACGATGAAAATGATTCCAAACTTCCCGCAAACGCCCACGTTATGGGAAAGTGCGAAGCCTGCCACAAACCATGGGACATGTATCGCGGCAAACGGCGGTGCCCGACCTGTGGTGTCCCGTCTCTTATCTGCAAAGACTGTTTTCTCGCTGACAAGGAGGGCAGGAAGAAATTAGGCAAGGAGGTCCGGTGCGATTTGTGTGTAGAACAGGGGATATTTTCCAAGAGGCAGTACCGAGAAAACGACGAGCGGTTCATCCAAGACTACGAATCGAAAATGACGGCCAAGGGGCTCCTCCTGCCCAACGCGGCAGCTCAAGATCCAGAGGTTGACTCTGCGGTGATGGCAYCAAACCCAAAGGGAATCACCCGGTTGGTTCTCAAAAACATGTGCCGCAAAAAGATGACAGAGGATGCCCTTATGGAAGCCCTTCCAGGCATCACGCACATTGTGTGGAATACCCAACGCAATCGAAAGAATCCGTCGGCAGAACCCATTTTTACCGGAATGGGCTGGGTGGAAATGGCCACCCCGGACGATGCGGCCAGGGCCGTGGCCAAGAACAACCAGCTCAAGGTGTTCGGCAGGACGATTGGCATTGCCTTCCAGGCGCCTGACGGAAAGGATGTGTGGCCAGCACCGAATAGCAGGGTTGTCTAACCGACGGCCCGCGCGCTTTCGACCGGAGAGAGGGGTWTGGTTTCGTACTGCTTTTCTGTAGGCTGAGTTGTGTCGTCCTATCATGATGGGAACTTTTAATGTTCAGCTCTCAACAAGCACGCGACTAGTACCATTCTACTCCTTCGTAGACGACGTTTGGAATTTCGACGTTTTTCACTTTGGATACATTACAGGCATTATAAATCATTATTCAACACGCAGTCATTGGTCTCTAGAGTGATGCTCATTTTCTCCCCTATCGATGRCAAACACGAACCACAGAGCACTAACAGTACCATACATCATATTATATTCGTTTTTTGGCCGCGATCCTTGGGATACAATGATCATCGTTGYCGCATATCACTCCACTACCTACTTGAAGATTGGTTTCGGTTTCGGTGTACAGCAGAGCAAGATCCCGCAGCCAAAATATGCAATGCATGCTAACAGATTGTAGGTCGCGCCCTGGCCCCACTCGCACTGCTGCCCCGTCCGAATCCCGTCGGGGATAACGGTTGTCCCGAATTGGGCGATCATATCATCACCCAGTTGGTCGTTGAGATCCCCACATGCCTCGATGAGGTAAAGCGCATAGGCTCCCAGGCCGCAACCCCTTCGTTGCGAAAACGATTTTCGAACCAGAAGGAAATACAAACACGCATGAGGTGGTGACGACAAGGACGAACAAACCGAACAATTTCAGACACGAGAACCATGCTGTTTATTGATGGCGCCTCTCTCTCGATGGTTGCACTCCTGGCACTTGCCAAGGCGTCGCATCGTACGGTACTCACCACGCCCCCACAAATGCGGCTCCCTCGATGCACGACGCGCAGGGGAGCTCGCACAAAAGCCACTCGAAGACGACCAGCGCCGTGGACGCCAGGCCACAAATCATGGAAAGTGTCAGCGAGGACCGGGCCAGGGCAACCGCCCAATCGTCGTCGGAGTACATCTCCTCGATGTCGCACACGCCATCCGTTCCTTCGAACCAGACGCCCACGTTGATCGAYGAGCCCGCGACGCTGAAAAAATCGCACGAATACACATTGAGCCATTGCATGCCCAGCTAGTTTTATTCCGATGCGTCGAACGCGTTGGTAGAAATATTTAAAAGCACGCAAAAGACAGYCAACACAAGTGAGAAGAAAATCAAAGAAGAGAAGGAAGGACCGGATTATCAGATATCTGGGGCCATGTTAGTAGTCGGAACGTATTTTTTGTGGGTTTCAAACAATGRCCCTCTCTCCCTCTGTTCCATTCTGTATCCCGCCATCTCCCTTGCTTACCGCGAAGGCGCAACCAGCGACGATGACTAGTCGAAATAAGTTTCCGATCGTATTGCAACAGCAAACCATCGCGACGAATCAATACTTCCGAACGGTACGGTGCTCCTTCTGATTTCTTTGGATATCCGATGCGAGAGCTCTAAATCCAGCGCTCCCTTTCGCGATGTACGGGAGACAGCAATGGCTGGATTCGATTGGGACGATAGCACTCTTTGGGGAAGTGTGGTAMCGGTAGATGGTTGATTGTTGATGATGATTGAATCGTTCCTACATCGACKAGTGCAAATATTTTTCAGTCGTATTGCATTTGAAAACATGTGTTCAAATAATAGGAAACGAACCAGGTCTCGTCCTTCGATGACTGAGCGGTCATGCATCRTTCTTCAGGCTTATTTATCGATTAAATTAAAACCACGGTAGAAACTARAAGTAGAAGTACAATGTACTTGTCCCATACGTACGTACTGTACCTCTATTTCCCGCCGCCTGATGGACGCTGCAACTATTCTGTGCGCAACTCAACAAAAACCAAAACCAACCTCAAAATGGAAAGGTGCATGCATCATACRTATGGTATCTCTTATTCATACCTCAAGTATCAGTAATCAATAATCAATGCGGTACGAAGTAGAAGTACTTGCTGTTTGTCGGGGGACAAACAGCCTCTGTAACGAGTCCCTTGTTACTTAGTTTCCCAGATCCCCTTGGGGCTAGTGGTATAGGCTGTGCTGGTGGGTTAAGCGGGTGTTAGGGGGAACCAGAGCAACCCTAGGTCCCCTGCCACGTGGAAGGGCCCTTGCCGATTAGGGTTAGGGTTCCTTTCGTGGAGGGGACGCAAGTGCTTTGGATCCCTGAGCCTGCTTATCCAACCCACCGGCCTCCGCATACTGTTATTACTACTAGCTGCCATAAGGCCAAGAGGCCACCGGGAGGGAGCAAAGCGAGGGTCGGGAGGAATGGGACTGCAGGTAGCGGATGGAGGGGAGAGACGCGGAGCGGCGAGGTGAGCCGGGGAATTAAGCGGAAGCGGATGGGACGGTTTCCTCCGGAAGGAAGCTGTAGGTTCCATTGTTGAACATTAAAGCTGCGAGGCTGCGGAATAAGGGGACAGATTGTTGGTGCAAGTACCGCATCATGGCATCGCTGTGCCACCGCGCAAGCAGTTTAATGACGTTGGAGTCGCATTTTCCTTGGAGGAGCGCCATTGCTCCTCCGGCTCGTAAAGAACGGGCGCTGAGTGAGCCAGGTGAAATACCAGTGGTGGGTTCGAGTATGGCAGCATGCCACCGCATGGTGGTTGTTATCATGGCTGCTGTTACTCGGACATTTGTATTGCGGGTGTTATAGTAACTCGCGAGTTTGATGGCTCCCTCATAGTTGTTGTGTTCACGGTGGGTCAGGAACTGCCGGATGACTGCTGTGACTGGGCAACACAGTGGATCCCCACTTCTAGAGTGGGCGATAACGTCTCCTTTGGTTCCGTTCTTTTGTGTGGTGAAGGTTAATTGGATGGATGTCGCTGCATTGAGTTCGGCGTTGGATGCGGCTGCTGCATTTAATCGTCTAGAGCCAATGAAGAAGKCAACATCATCCAGTGAAAACGCTTGATCATCAGTGGTGGTGCCAGTGTACTCCCCGGGGCGTAAACAGAAGAAAAAGGCCAGGCACATCATGTTGGCTACTGCCTTTCTCTCCGGTGTGGGCTGGTGACGATAAGCGAAGTTGAGGGCACGTATTATGATCGTAATGGGAACCGGCCGCACCCGGGAGGGGGGCCGGTCCTCTTTACGGTAGGCTCGAAGTTGAGCACTGAGGCGATAATCTATTGAGCCAAAGCTGTTGAGCCTGGGGTCAGGGGACCCCAGGCGGGTGAGCGTCTGGCCCACTGACCTGATGGCGTCCGATACTGTATGAGCTCTTGAGGGCTTACGGCTGGGGGATACTCTCCCGTCATGGTACCGGGCGCCAAAGACTTGCAAATAAGGGATGGGGTCCCTGGTTGCACGGAGAAAGGGGTCGATGTGTTGAGACAAGCAGAACTTAAGCCAGCAATCCCAATGGGCATTCTTTTTACGGGAGTATCCAAGAGTAACGCTGGATTGCATCGTCGTTTGGACAGCGCTGAGATCAGCATGGAATACATGGGCTTCCTGAGCTGGCATGCTTTCCAGGGCAAGCTCTGTGGATAAGTGTGATTGAAATGAGCGGACAGTTGTGAGTTTGATAGGTCCCAAGCGCGGGAGAGCTGATCTGCCATTACATTAGACTCCCCCGGGATGTAATCATGCAGTGGCACATAGCGATAACACCGTTGGTGTAAGGCTTGGAGGCGTAGGAGGTAGGCTACTGGTCCGGTAGTGGTGGCCGCCCCTTTTCGTTGCCAGTATACAGTGGCTGTGTTATCATACAGGTTGTGAATGGTCCGCTCTGTTACATCCGCAGCCTGTGCCAGCACGTCTACCTGTGCTACTGAGCCAGCCAGCTCTAGCTCACTGTTGGTGATGGTCCCAGCGGGGTTTGAGAAGGAGACCAGTTCCCTCCGGATCCAAGCAGGGAATCGGGCTCTCCAGTACAGTGGTTGCACCTTCCCTCCTGGCAAAGGAACAAAGTGTACGCCGCCCATTCCTTCTCCAGATGCATCGCAAGCCCCAATAGTTGAGGGCCAGACGTCCGGAACGAGCTCCGCTATACGTGTAGGTCTGGACGTGATATCGCTTGCAATCCATCTAAAGTCTTCCAGGAAACTATGTAGTGCTCTTGTCAGGCGAAGACGGTTACGCCCTTTTTCCTGGTGCTGTAGGGCTTCCTGCAGTATGGAGAACAGTCCTAATGAACCGGGCAAGGCTATGGACATGGACCTAAGCTCCCCCAACAGTTTGTGCCACTCTTGGACGGAGGCATATTTCTGGTCTGGCTGGATGGATCCCAACACGTCGTGTAATCTCTCCACTCGGTGAGCTGGTAAACTGATAGTCTTGTTTCGTGTGTTCAGTAGCCAGCCCAGTATGACCTTTGAGGTTGCCCACGTGGCATCCCCCTTCTTGAGTTTCTTCACTGAGGCTGGCTCCTGTCTATACGGGGTATCTTCCCCATCTAAGGGTCGAAAGACCCTGTCAAGTGAATGGAGGAGGGCCCGCTTCACGGCTCGGCGAGTCCAGCGGTTCCCTTGAACTAGCCCGCAAAAATCGTCGACATATATGTCCCAGTAACGGATGGGTTGCTTTACTGGTGTGGAGGCTCCCTTTGTTGGGAGGCTTACGTTGGTGCGGACTTCTTCGGAAGGGTCCTCCTCACTTGGTGTTTCGGAGAGGAGATCCAACCTATGGGGGAGCTCCCTCATCCGCTGGAGCCCCCCGGTTTTCACTAGTATGCCGTTGGCTAGATCTGCCACTGTTTCAGTACATGCACTGAAGTTTGGGGGGGAAGAACACCAGCCCATGGGGTTGGTAAGTGGTATCCCCACTAATGGTTCTTCCCCCTCTCTAGTGGGAAACAAGACTCCTAAGCTAAGGGTGTCCTCTGGCTTCACCCACAGCCTATAGAAGCCATCCGAGAGGTCAATCTTGGACATGTACACCGGTCCAAAGATATCATTAGATCGGTGGATCTTTTGCAGCAAGCGTTTCAGTGTGCGGCCAAACTGCATGGCTTCCACTGGGGCCAGGGGGACCGTGTCGCGATTCACACCAAAGTAACTGTAATCAGATATCATGCGGTCCCTTCGTCCCCGCTGGGGGACCAGACCCAGTGGGCTGAGGCGGAGGCCAGGAAGGTCCGCAACGAGGCGAGCGGGCAATACTGTCCATTGTTGCTTGTCCATCATATCAGCGTACTCTTCCCGTAGGAATTCGATCCCTTGCCTTGAAGACTTGTGTGGTCCCCGTGCTACCGCTGCCGTGATCCTTGCTTGGTTCCACGGGGGAGGGGACATTTCTGCGGGTGTCCCCTCCTCCTGGAATCTCCGCAGGAGCTGGGCAGCGGGGTGGGGGAGGTCCCCTACTCCTGGGTGCAAATCCCCCCGCCCCCTCAATGAGCGTATGAATTCCCCCCACGATGGGGCCCTATGGTAGGCTTTCACTGCTCTTTGGATGTGGTCGTCCAGCCTATCCGGTGGATACTGGCGGGTTGGCTTGCTCAGCCGAGCCGCGGCAAAGGGGGGCTCGGCCCCCTTCTTCTTGGTTGTCACGTTACCATGGGGGGGGGCCGGGTCTCGAACTCCGACGCTGTTCCTTTGGGGGAGCTCGGGCCCCCGGTCCTCCATGGAGTCTCGGCTCTCTGGTAATGCGGTTGCGAGCCCGGGGGAAGTGTTATGTTCCCTTTGCGGGCCATTTAGGTGCGATTCAAACACGGGTGTAGAATTCTTACCTAATTCTACGGGGAGGGGAAACCCCTCCCCGTTGGCGGAGCCCCATTTTCGGTCTAGACTCCTATTAGCGGCTACGTCCTTTGACACTACCTTCCGTACTTTAGAGGAGGTCACAGGCTCAGCAGCAGCTAGAAGAGCGGGCTGCCTGCCCCCTCCTCATTCAGTGCCATAAGCCTCCTGGCACCAATCCCAAAATCGATCTCTTTCATCCTGGGGGGATTCTGTGTGGTCATACTTGAGCTTACACCCGTCATAACAAAATCCTTTAGCGCGCCAGGAGTGGCACATTTCCTTTTCATCATTCCGCAAGCAAGGGCCTTTCCCCTTGGTTTTCATTGCAGCCATTGCTTTAGCTATTTTCCAGGTCTTGATTCGTGTCCCAATTTCACCACTGGCTGCGGCAAACCGACTGTCTTGGTGGGGGTTCTCCACTCGGCTCTGCGATGACGGCTGGGGGGTGTTATTCCCTTGCCCTCCCCGGGACCTGTTTCCACCGGTCGTGTTGGAACCTCTCGGTCCTTTGTTGCCGCCGTTAGTCGTGAGGTTCCCTGTAGCCGGCTTCCGTAGGGCTTGTAGTGCTGGTACATCTGATACGACGGGCAACCAGTTTAGGGTTTTAGTTAGCTTAAACATGCGGAAATCCTGCATGAAGTTAGGGACTTCCACTACAGTGTCCGTATCCCACTGCTCTTCCAACCAACCGCGGATCCTTATCTGGAAGTAGTAAACGGTAATGGCGGGGGCTAGCTTGTCCCCACATTCATCCTTTATGGCGTATCGAAGTCCCAGCTGGATCTTTTTGAGTCGTTCTAGTCCGGCTAGATAACTCCGGACTACGGGGTGTTCTACCCCAACTACAGCTGCGAGGACTGGCAAGTACCCCTCTATCTGTAGTACAGCTTCGGTCCATTCGATAGGTATGTATCCCTTTGCCTTTCCCAGGACACGGGCGTCACTGAGGTTGAGGGAATTTCCTTCTATGGACACAAGAGTATCATATGCAATGGCATCCTGTGCATCCTCCAGTTCCTTTCTTCGGGCAGTAGGGGAACCTCCCGGTGGTGCAAAGGCCATGGGTAGGATACCATCCCCTAACTCACATTCGTCCACTCCGTAGAACCGGAACGTTTGGAAGGTCTTTAGTATGGAGGTAGGTACAAAGGGGGAGGGTAGTGTCAGCTCTCGTCCAGCCTGGTCGACGTAGCTTTGAAAGAGAGCATGTAGCTTCTCCCCTTTCTTCTTCTGTGTCCAACCGTGGTAGACTGGTGGAAGTTGGTCCGGGCTGTCCAATTGGCAAAGTGTTAGCAGTCGTCTAGTATTAATAGTGCCAAACACCTCTTCTAAGGAGGGGGGCTTAGCTTCCTCGGCTCGACGTCGTTCATTGGCTTCATTAGCCTTTAGTTGGTTATCCGTAAGTGTAGATACTGCTGCAGTTAAGGCTGCTGTTTCCGGGCCTACGAACGCGGGGACAGAGACGAGACCCGGCAAGTCTCGGTGTAGGACCTTCTTCTCCATATATACCGTGAGATCTGCCTCAGCACGGAATAGGGGCCCTGGTTCCGTGGCTGAGATCTCGCAAATAGCCCCGGCTCCTTCCCCTGGATTAACCCGTGTACTGGCAATCCTTAAAGCATTAAGCAAAGGGTAGGCAGCATCCGCCAGCCCTTTCATGCTAAGCCATGGTTGAATGATAACGTAAGCCTCTCGAGGGCTCAATTTCTTCCCCATGACAAAGGGGACTAACTCGTAAGGCAGAAAGAATGTGTGGCGACACTTTATCTCCTCAGTGTTGACCGCGGTCTCAGTAGGTGGTCCCACAAACTGGAGTATGGGATCTGCCTCTAGCGCCATGGCGTGTTGGGCCCCGGCAAGGACTCGGACCGTGCCGGTTTTGGCAAACATACTGGTGGTAACTTGCACGAGTTCCCCTCTCCCGGAAACCACGTCATCGAGGTACCCGAAGATCTTTCCGGAGTTCTGGGATGTGTTGAGCAAGCTCCCTGGGTAGCGTCGGATTCCGTGGATGACTCGCAACCGGGGGACGAGGGTGCTGTCATTAACGAATATTCCGATTCCTCCGACAGCTTGAGCTTCGAACAAGTCTAGTACTTCCCCCAGAATTTGCGGTGCAGTGGGGGTGTTAGGTCCAGTACTTCGGAACTTGTGGTAGATTGCCTTGTAGGCTTCCTTCCTACGGTTTGCATCAGTTCCGAAAGGGTTGGAACCAGGATCTTGGAACAGATCCGCATACCGCTGGGGGCGCGGATCCGCAGTCCCCCCGAGGGTACTCATCTCCGGGGGTTACAGTTAGCTGGGGGCCGGGGCGTGCAAAGCTGGCCCCGGTCCTACCTTAATAGCAATTGCTCTTAGTCTACTATTACTGTCTCCATTACTCCCTGCTATCGATAGCAACAGTGATCTTAGTGAGCAGCTGAGCTGCTGGGAGCTGAGACGCACCTCTTGTTGCTGCTGACAGCTGTTTGTACTGCTGTAGTTGCTCTCAGCCATTCATTTTCCTCTGGCGCGCGTTTGCGCGCGCTTAGGCGGATCCAGACTTGCGGGACTCGCTACACCGATACCGTACGGTACCAAGTACGAGTACGAGTACCCGTACTGATAGATTGAGTGATTCCCGATATTATAGAAATGCTAAATTTGATAGACGGACGGACCAAAAATCTAGCACATTTTGTAATAGATTTAGCATTTTTAGAATGGGTCAACCGACCCCATTCTAAATGTGCTAAATCTATGATACGGTACTTCTAGTACATTCCAACAAAAGACTGGCATCGAGCCGGCATTCTCGTGGTCTGTCCGTTGAAATTCGGATTCCCGTTATTATAAAAGTGCTAAACTCATAGATTCCGGAATTCTATCATTCTATAATAACGGGAATCACTCATTAGGACCTGTGAACTGTCTGGAAGCATTGTTTTGTGTGCGCCACCGTCTCTAGTCTCTACGGTATTCTTACTTTGGAGTTGTACTGTACTGCGTACTGGTACCTCGTACCCTTACAGAAAAGGTACAAGTACCGGTACAAGTACGACTTCGAGCGCTGAAACCCAACAGAAAAAAAATGTGCGCAGGATTTTCCCGCCCCGGGTCCAGATTTAAAAGGAAAACAACAGACCCATGGCATGGATGGATCGGATCGGTTCGTAGCTGTTGTTGAAAACCAAATTTCCGAATTGCGGTGGCAACAAACGAAAACTCACCGTAGCGTGATGGCGATCTTTTTGGTCCGTTGAACAAGAACCAACCTACGAAGACCATGGCGGAGCCGGAAACGTCGGGGAGTGGATTGCCGCAAAGCAGCGGCGGCAGCAGCAGCAGCAACCCCGGCGTTGCTGGTGGTAAGATGTCACCGCGCCCGGTGTCCAACGGATCGAGCAGCAAGAGCGACGACAACGAAGAAGGCAGCAATGGAAGGAGGAACGGGCGAGAGGGGGAGGACGAGCGGGATTCATCGACGCAACGGTCGCTACAGAACGGGAGCAAACACCACGAGAGAAGCAAACGAGCCACCGGAGCCGGGAGGCCACTGGCCTTTGGCGGGGTGGAAGGCATCAACCAGCACCAACTCCGGTTGCTCTCTGCCGCCCGCGATTGTCCCCTGTCCCGAACAAARAGACCGCTGGCCACCGGGGGCAAGAAACTGAAACGAAATCAGTGGTGGTGCAATCTATCGTCTAGCGAATCCTCCTCTGGCTCGTCGCCGGGTCCGAGAAACCAGAAATCAAGAAGCTGTTGTTCCTCGCACCCGCTCAACGCCGATCGGGACGACAAGAGGTCGGATCGGGACTGCGACCTGATCAGCGGTCCGAGCGACAACGACAATGGGAACCAAAACGACAACACTGGAACCGAAAGAGATCCTCGGGCTGCAAGTGAGTGCATAGGGATGGAAATTCTAACGACGAACCAAGACAGCATTCCGAGGCTCGAAACYCTGACCAACTCCTACAACGAGAAACCACTCCACCACCCCCGGGAAAAGGGACCGATCGAAAGCACACCGAACAGGCAGCTGCTCAAGCGCCCCCCGGCACACTCCTTGTCCCCAACCGAATCCAAAAAACGAACCCCGGAGGTTCCGGGGCTCGAAAAGCAGGCGATCGAAAGCACACCGAACAGGCACCTGCTCAAGCCCCCCCCGGCGCACTCCTCCTTGTGCCTAGCCGAATCCCAAAAGAAAATAGTTGAGRTTCACGAACGGATAAAGTCCGAGGTACAAATCGCGAGGCAATATACTTTGGAAGAAGAGGTTCGTCGTGCGCTTGAACAGAAAGCCGCGCTGACTTCCCGGAATCCTCGGTCGAGATCAAGATTCTCACACTTCCCAAAGGAAGTAGAATTGCAATGCAAGCAGGGCAACAAGAGCCAGGATGACAACTACCACACGGTGATTGTGAACTCTTCGCTGACCGTCTTGCAGACCAGCGACGATACAAAGCTCAAAGCGGACGTCGAGCAACTMGGCAAACGATCGAAGGCAATCAACCTAAGCCTTATGCCGTACGAATTAAAAATTCTGGAGGAACAATTTGGATCRATYCTGGACGAGCTTCCTCCCCAATACCGATTCGACGCAGACATTCACAATTATATAAGCGACACCCTGGACACGCCACCGGAGGGTATGGACACGAAGSTCGAAGCTCCCTCCCGTTACAAGGGCGTTCCAGAAGCAGCATCCGACCCCATCGGTACGAACGAAAACGACGCGGATTAYGTTTCCGTTATGAAGGGATTTCGAGATTTCTGTCCYCAGTGTAAAACCTTCGATTGCCAATTTCACATAACGTCGTACCCCGACGCGGCTACGCAGGCAAGCGTAGCGATTCAATACGACAAAAGGGCTATTTCTCAGCTATCGCGTTCGGCCCGTCGATCGTTCAACCAACAGCCTGTCCGTGGCGGTCGCAGCGGATCGGATTCTCGTGTCGAGAGCTCCGTTCGGGGCAAAGCAAGGAACTCGTTCACGGTGGACGTTACGGACGGGCAAAAATTCCACCTGAGCGGCGAGGTCATGGAGTGCCCCTTTTGTAGGTTCCCCTGCCGCGGCAGTGAAAAACTCTCGAAACACCTGAAGCGATACCACAGTGACTCGTTTTATTTCGAAACATCGGACAGAAAGATCACGGCCCGAAAACGAACCGTAGGGACGACAACAATGATTCCCAAAAGGCAGTATTATCATCCGAATTCCAAAATTCCTATCCAAATAGGCCATCACGACAGGGATTTAGACGACGAATCTCTTTATAGCTGGTACCACGATTATCGGAAAGAGAGAATAGAAGATTTCGACGACCTTACCGAGAACGAAAAGAAAATAGAATCGTTGTGGAATCGATTCCTAGGATGTTCATCCGTGGTTGTCGAAGACAGGGCTGTGCCGAAGATCTGTATGTCTTTGATTCGAAAGCACTCTGCGGACCTTTCGGGATTGGAATGGGAGTTCTATCAGCTAGTCATAACACTCTGGGAACGCCGGATGCTCTCCGTCATTGATGTAGAACAATGCATGCTTCTTTATCATAGCCTACAGGACTCAAAGCTATGGCAACGGAATGCAACACCATTGAATCCTCGCAAACGGGTCATATGTAGCCGCTTACACCTAATCTTTCAGAGCTTGGGCGGGGGGATGCCAAGGTTTTTGAAAGCCATTAGTCGAACGGCRATAACAAGTCAAGATCTCGTGAACACTCCCGTTCTGGATACCGCAATAAAATGGCCAAAGTTAAAGAAGAAGAGGAAAATTACCGAGGTAGTTAGAATGCGTGCGCAAGATATATCSAGGCCCTTCTTCTTCCCTTGCTTCCACGCTGGTCCTTGTACCAAAGAAAACGGTTGCACGTGCATCGAAAACGACAATCTGTGCACCAAACATTGTATTTGGGGCGAATACGGCATTAATTTCTATTCGGGCTGCCATTGCACATCGGATTGCAGGATTGCCAAACTCTGCCCCTGCCGCGACACGAATCGAGAATGCGATCCAGATACCTGCATGTGCTGCTGTACGAACCAAGGATGTGACCGCAAGTGTGCCAATATGGATGTCACTTTGGCGAACCGTGTGCCCCTGTTGATCGGAAGATCSAGCATCAAAGGGGCTGGATTGGGATTGTTTACGAAAAATCCTCTMAAGAAAGGAGACTATATCGACGAGGTAGGTAGACTGATGGGTACTKTGCTATGCCATTGTTGTTCTACCACTGTTTCTTGTTCTTCGATTGTGGGTCACGACATTGAACTCAAAGCTGTTGCTTCTTCTGCGTTTTAAACTTTTTAGTACATTGGAGAGTTCATCAAACGAGAACACGAAGTGAACAGAAGTCAAGAATATTACTTYGATCACTCAGATGACTACGTAATAGACGCAACATATCAGGGGAACAAAACACGATTTTTGAATCACAGCCAAACGCCAAACATCGAAGCGAAGCATCGGTTTGTGAACGGGGAGAAGAGAATTGCTTTCTACGCTAAACAAGACATCCCATCCCAAAGTGAGTTRTTCTATTCCTATGGTAAAAGCTATAACAAAATATGGCGTTCCAAAGGCATACCAGAATTGTGTGTCGATAGCGATGACGATGGATTCGAAAGCGAAGACGATGAATCCGAGAGCCTAGAAGAGTCGCAATCAGTCGATGATTTTTGTTCTGTTTAGCTATAAGATGGCACAGTAGCCGTAAAATAAACTTTTTGTCCTCGCTGAATAGCTTAGTTGGGATTGACTTTAATTTTACATTCATTCATGCGAAAGAACGCAGTAGAACTTTATAATTCGTGCAGATATCCACCAGGACTTACTAAACGAACMTTCAAGTGCAACATCTCAATTCGTAGAATTTTAGAGAATGAAACGGCTTTTGCCAATGGTCCCTGCTCTTTTTTTAAAAAAAGGAATGGGTGTCCAACGCGATTTTGTCTTCGATCAAATGCATTGGTAATGCATCGGGCATAATTTTTTCGTCCTACAATACAGAAAAAATAGATCCATGCGTCTTTATACCTATGCATAGGAGAAGATCGAGTCCGCAGTCATCGATGAATCGCTATCCCTTAGCGTATCAATTCGGCCATGGAAAGAAATGTGCAATCCTTATGGATGTCAGGTCGGGCGGACTTTAGTCAGATGAAAATAGTGCTTTTCAAAACATTTAAAAAAAAAAACACCGTATGCTGAAGGCTCGCAAATTGTATGGCTTATCTATATAAGATCTTGAGATTTCGTGGAATTCTATATTTCATCGAATGCAAATGTTTTTAGTTGCAACTAGCGAGAGGATTCAACCCATTTTTTTCCGTAGATGAAATACATTATCCTTCTATTCACCATCTGTTGTCTTGGAAATAGATGGAACGATGCACAGCAAGAACAGCTCCATTTGTGTTGACTCACAGGTCTTGTGACTGCCAAAGGGCGTSGATGTTTGTGGTACTGTCCTTCCTATGGTTGGTGTAAGTATGGATCGCATTGCGTTGTATCGCATCAGATCGCATCACTGCCAAATGGTCTGAAACCAGATCTTCGCATCGTAGGCACGGGAGGCGACCAAGCTCCGCCCGTCGGGCGTGAAGGAGAGCATTTTAATGTTGTCGTAGTGTACGTGATCCCCGACCTCCGTTGCGAGGCACTCGGTTAAGCGATAGGCATAGTGGTCCGCGTCGTTCTCGTCGTTGGCCGGAAGTGCTCCGGACGAGATGAATGGTTGCATCGCGGATGATCCAGCCGGCGATACCTTCCAGACCCGAACCCCGCCGCGGGCTTCACCCGCCGCAAGGAAGATTTTCCCGTGTCCGTGAAAGCACCCTTGCTGCGGAATCGAGGAATACGAGGCCAGCGAAAAAATCTTTCCGGGACTTTGGAATTGGCACACGCAGACGTAGTCGTCTTGTGCTGTGCAGCCGTACGCTAGCTGTTGCCGCTGCTTCTTCCAGAACTTGACCTCGCCCTGCAAACTGGCCGAAACAAGGCAAACGTCCTGCTTGTCGCTGCCGAGTCGCAGGAACTCCAGTCCGCGAACCACGTGGTTTTGGTAGGCCAATATCTGGTTGCTGCTGTTTCTGACAGTGGGAACCGTCCGACGACACTCGTTCTCTGGCTCCTCTTCAAGGTTCCACAGGTTCACAATGCCTTTTCCGCATCCACGGGTACCACCGGAAGAGCTGCTCTCTCCAGGACTTCTGTCCGCCGTGCTTGCCGCATCGTTTCTGGTGTTGTTAGCCCGTCCYCCGTGGGGGTTGCTGTTGGTCGTGCTCGAGGCCCCGATGCCTCCATTGGTCGCCATTGCGAGGCGGGCTAGYGTTGGATCAAACACCATGAGGGATCTGGAGGAYAGCAGCGACACTTTTTGGGTAAGGCGGTACCCGGAACGGTCGTCGGCCTCCGMGGCAGGAAAGCGGGTCCAGATGTAGGCCGTTTTTCCGTAGCGGGCAATCAATCGGCGTGCSTCTGCGCTGAATCCCAGGTAGGTCACTTCGTAGATTTTCCCCTTGCGGCATTCGATTTCGAGGGTGGTTTGGAAGGATTGGTGCTTCCGATCCTCCTCTGGCCCTTGCGGCCGACCGCAATGCTTGTAGACCTGGTCGTACTCCGCCAGCTGTGGCTGGGGGGGCTGCGCATGGGATGGAGTTCTGCTCCGGAGCAATGGCCGGCACCGCTTGCCGCGCCTGCGGTGGTGGCGGATAGCGGCTTGGGTATCCCAGAGGACGATCTTGTTCTCGAACCCACACGCCAGGACGTGCCCGGTGGGAGAGAATCTCAGCAGGCTCCCCATGGGCAGTGCCGGAGAATCGTCGTCCCTCGTGGTCCGGTACCGGTGCTCCCCGTAYGTGTGCTCGCTCCCTTTCGCGTGGTTCCTCCAGGCGAGCTTTCCAGTCCGCAGGCTCCACAGCTCGATGCTTCCGATGACGGACGCGCACGCGAGGTATTCTCCGTCGTGCGAGAGGCAGAAGGATTCGATCGCCTGCCCCTGCCCCCCGCTCTTTTTGGGCTGGAGGGGACGGTGCGTGGGCCAGGGGGGTTGGACTCTGGCTCTGGCGACCGGGGTGGCGGAGGGTTGGGTTTTGGTGTGTCCTTCGTCGTTTCTTGCCGTTTTGTAGTTCTCGTAGTCTGCGTTGAGTTTCGACAGGAACGTCAGCATGTAGATTTCTTTCGAGGCTTCCACCAGCGAGTTCCAGGCGGGTCGATCCAAGAACGGAAGAATGTGGTCGATCCASACCACGGAGGGAATCGTCGCCTCCGTCGATTYGCATTGGTCAGCACGCGGTGGTGCAAGCGATGGCGGTGGCACGGGGGCAGTGWCCGTGCCAATGTCGATGGAGGAAGTTTCATCGAGAGAAGATGCCGGCATCACAACGGTGTCGGGGGAGGCGCGCACGTTTTCATTCGCACTGCCGTCCGCATTCGCATTTGCCTTCGCAGTGATACAGTTTCCTTGGCACATGGCGGAACGACGACAATGTGGCTGTTGTGACAACGCGTCAAGGGATATGGACGAGGCTGGTGATAAGAAACTTGTGCCTTGAGCTGCCGTTGGTTATTGTCATGGAAGGGTAGTCTTTCATATTGCGTTGTTTGTTATGCTGYTTCTCCAGCAGAAGGAGTTGTCGTGCATCATGATTCATGATTCACGATGCGTGTGGTGTGAATTGGGAAGAACAAGGAAATACATTTCTACGGCAGGYATTTCCRGGGTTTGTTCTKTGAGTTGACGTGTCAAGATTCTCGCATGGGTATCAATACTATTTTAATCTTTTTGGACGGTAGTACGAGAATTCCCAGTCATTCTTCTGAAGCACGGGCTTCGTCATTCAGGATTCATTTCAAAAAGCCTTCGTTTTGAGTGTGGAAGATGATGGGAAAGATTTGGCGTGCGGGGATATCATATCCTTATCCCTAGAACATCCCGGAAGCGAAACCTTACTCCTATCCCTAATACTGTACTGTAATGCTTGTTGAAAAGAAAAATCCGTTCAGTTGGTTTTTCGGTTTTTCGTTTTTCTTCTCGAACTTGATAGAGCGATGTCATATTGTATCATACCGTACGTTAGGACGGTTGTTTTCATACCGTAGTCTGCTCTACGCCATGGGACGTTCGCAGAACGATTACGAACTCGAAGTGGCAATTGTGACTCCAAAAATCTTTTTTCTTTTGAAATTCTCGMCTCCGATTCCAGCTCTAGCGCATTGACTTTATCTTGGGCCCGCCTCGAACGGTCAGCTCTTTGCATTCGCTTTTGGAAAACAAGCACGGCAACAAAAGYTCCAGCCGCAGCCGCAGCCACATCCACCGTCGCCRCCTATCAGAGCAACCCGACCGGCGAACCGAGTCGCATTCCAAAAATGAAGTTCTTCGCCGATATTTTCTTCCTGCTCCTCCTCGTTGCAAGCTGCAACAACCGCGCTGCCGCAGATGGCACCGATTCCGAGACGGAACCAGAAGRCCACGATGAATCGTACGAGGTAGTGACCTTTCTGAATTTTTCGGAGGAAACGATCGAAATACACTGGGTCGACACCAGCACTCCCGAGCGCACGAAATACCCGGCAGTCATCGCGGCCCCKTACGAACAAGCCTCCGCGGGAACCTACCGGGGCCACGTGTTTGTGTACGAATGGAACGGGRCCGAGCACAGCTTCGAGGTCCAGGCGTCCGAGCCCCGCAAAACCGATCCCGAGCACGACGACGAGGCCGGGGAGGACGCCGACGAAGAAGAGGGCGAGGACGGCATGGGTCTTTGGCCCCAGATCCACATCCTGGGCGATGTCCAGACCGAGGACGAGTATCTGGGGATCGAAACCAAGTCGGTGGTCTGCGGGACTACCGAGGGAGACATTCGCATCAAGGTCAAACCGGTATGTACAGGGCTCGTCGTCGAGTGAGGAAACAACTGAGTAGTAGACAATCGTGCTAAAATTCCCCTGTGCTCCTGCATCGAATCTGTCGGATCGGTCTCGCTCACACCCCACTCACTATTCAACCGTTGTTTCTCGGCGTGCTCCACACTCCAGGCCTGGTCTCCGCTGGGTGCCGCGCGCTTCTTGGAGCTTGCCAAGGCCGAAACCAAGTACTTTGACGGGTGTGCTCTCAACCGGGTTGTTCCCGGATTCCTGACCCAGTTTGGAATCGGTGCCGTATACGAGCAGCGGACGATTTACCGCGAGGCGAGCATCCCCGACGACGTTCCTTTAGATATTCAGTTCGAGCCGGGATTCATGTCCTATGCCGGGAGTGGCAAGGACTCGCGGTCCTCAGAGGTGTTCATCGCCATGCCAGATACCCCGGAGTCGCAGCTCGATTATTTTGGTGTAAATTCGTGGGAAACCCCCTTTGGATACGTCGAACCGGAGGACCTGGAGGTGGTAGCCAGGTGGTTCTCGTATGGGGACATGGAACCCGTGAGTYRTGTCGGGCYGTGCGGACTTTTGGACAGGGTCCAATTGAGTTGAAGTAATTTTGTTATTTCTTTTGTCTTGTTTTSTTGTATCTGACACAGGGTTCYTTTGTTGTTGCTGCTRCTGCGATTTGATTTGAACTCGGMTGCTMATTGTGGCATSTTTGCCCCCRAACCATCTTCGTTTTCAATCCTGAAGTGGGGCAAAGGGCCCGACCCGCAAAAGATCTACGAAGAAGATGGATACGAGTACCTGCAGAACGAGTTTCCAAGGTTGTCCTACATCGCGGGATGTGTCATCCTTGCCGATGCCGACGTAGACGAGGAAGGCGAACCTTCGGAGAGGAAAASTTACCATCAGTTGATCCAAGACGAGGTATCCGATGTAGAGCTGTAGCAAAGTCCAAACTGGTGTTCTTGTGTAGGGATGGTGTTTGGGCCGGCATGCTACGGTTTTTTCCTAGGAATTTGGATGGATGCACATGCGTTTACTGAACGTCGTAGCTTCGACATGGTAAAACACACTGGTAGATACACTAGGTTATAAAATTTAAAAATTGACCACTGTCGCGGTTTATATTTAACAATAATTGTTTCATCGCTTGTTCTCTATGGGAAAGCATCCCCTTCGTTTTCAGTCAGATCATCTCATCCAGCCCTCGCGACGGATCTTTTCTGGTTTTCGTCTTCTYAAGAGGTGTCTGCACGCCGCTGCCCATCGACCGTCCATTATCATGATAAGAAAATCTAGCATTCCGAATGTGATAGTTCCTCTACTGAAAATCACCAAGCATCTCAGAGGACTGTTCTCAACGTTGGCGCGGATCATACGGAGTTCTTGTTTCTTCKTAGGTCCCTCCTTCACTTCGCTTGCTGCAACCTTCATCGCAATCCTCATGATAATCGCTGCAATCAACGATGATTTTGCGGCATCCACAAGCAAGGTATTGCGGGAAAGGTACAGTTTTCGTTTCGGCTCTTCGTTCGTAAGKTTGGCAGCGAGGTCCACAGAYATTGGAGTCGGCGAGCGAAGTTGTACAMCGCCTTTCGCGAAACGTTTTGTGAACGTTTCATCGTCGACCACAAAGCTCTTTGGTCTGGAAACGGTGCCAGCAACAGATGCGTGTTCCTTATGGACAATGGGAGGATACGACTCCCTAGCAATTTGAGTGGAATTCCCACCCGTCTGAAATTGGATCGTCTCTTTCAAACGGATGTCCCGGCTGCTRGCCCCGACCTCGATTTCGAATGGAACCGACTTTTCAACTATCCAGTCTCGCAATCCGATGTCGTAGAAAGAAAAGGCCCTTTCGTCCAAGGTGAATTGTGCCGACTTTTTCTCGCCCAACGAGAGCTCCAGCTTCGAAAAACATTTGAGTTCGTGGTGTGGTCTGTAAACGCTGGATTGGATCGGTCGGATGTATAGCTGGATAACTTCCTTCACCGGTTTCGAGAACGTCGAAGCCGCGTCTGTGTTAGCACAGCCAATATTTTTCACGTCTAACRAAACAACAACTCGCTTCGAATTCTCGGTGTCTTCCTGAATATCAATGCGTAAGTTACTGTATTGAAAGTTTRCGTATTGCAGTCCATGGCCAAARGGGAATCGAACAGGAATGTTCACTGTATCGAAATAACGATAACCGACGTCCAGTCCCTCGCGATATTCTACTGTTTCGGTTGTCCCTGGGAAATAAGCGCTCGATGGAATATCATCTTCCACACGAAGTGGGATAGTTKCTGATAGTTTCCCGCTCGGGGAGACAACTCCAAAGAACACATCAACGAAGGCGTGTCCACCCGCTTGTCCTAGTAAGAATCCGTCCAGAATGGATTTTGCACCATCCACAAAGGATTGCGGAATTTCAACGATTCCGCCGTTGCTCAAGGCAATCACAACATTTGAATGGACATTGATCACAGCTTCTACCAAAGCAATGTGTTGCTGTGGCATCCGAATATGWGTCCTGTCGAATCCTTCGCTTTCCATGATTTCGGGTACACCAACACAAATTATAACCACATCCGTACTTGATTTCTGGGCTATCTCAACCGCTTCGTCGATTAAGTTTTGATCGATCTCATCACCTTCGGCGTGAGCGTCGTAGCCTCGCGCAAAGGACAYTGTGCTTCCAAAGTCGTTCTCGGATATGAATGATTCCATGGCAGTGTGTAAGCAGGYAATTCCTGTAGGAGTTACGTGAGCCGATCCCATGCCTTGATAACGAGGAAAACTCTTCGCAAAATCACCGATCAAAGCGATATTCTTCTCTCGAGAGAGTGGCAACAGATTTTCTCGGTTCTGAAGCATAACAATGCATTCTTGAGCAATTGTACGAGCCAATTGATCGTGCTTGTCAAAAAGTTTTACARTGTCGCTTGTAGTACTTTGGCGATTTGTTTTCTGGATATTACTCCTGCCTCGGTCKAATTTTTCAATCAAATTAGCAATACGGCTAGCGGAATCATCGATAGCTGTYTCGATGTATCTTGATTCTTCAGGGTGCTTTCTTACGTGATCGAGGACTTCCTTATCAAAGACACCCYTCTTTAAGGTACCTGGCATTTCAAGATCCATTCCTGCTCGTAGGCTTTCAACGCGATCACTGACGGCACCCCAATCGGACACCACGACCCCTGGAAATTTCCATTCGTCCCTCAAGATCGATTGCAACAAATACTTGTGCTCGCAACAATAAATCCCATTGACCTTGTTGTAAGCCGCCATGACGAGTTTAGGAGCATTGTGGTTGTTGGCACTGCCATGCTGACACGAAATTGACATTTCGAAGGCCGGAAGGTACAATTCTCTTAGTGTGCGTTCGTCTACTACTGCATTGACAACAAATCGAGCCGACTCTTGATTATTTGCACAAAAATGCTTGATACAGGCTGCGACAGATCCTGACTCTTGCACACCTGCAATATAAGCCTTTGCCAAAAGACCTGTTAACAGTGGATCTTCCGAAAAATATTCATGATTTCTCCCTAGATTGGTCGCATGATTGCCAAGTTGTGATCAAAGTAAAACGTTAGTTAACCAAGATAATTCTAAAAAATGGTTCATGTATTGCAAATATCTACCCSAATGGATTCGTCGAATGTAAGCTTACCTCCGAGTGGATTGCGTTTGAGGTTGATTCCCGGACCAAGCAGAACTTGTACGTCATAAAATTCACATTCCGTTGCCAACGCTCGCCCCATACGCTCTACCAGATCTACRTTCCAGGAGCAAGCTGTCGCACATGCCGATGGAAAACAAGTCGCTGGATGGGATTCCTGTAGTGTCAGGTCATTCAGAGGCTTTCGGAGGCCATGGGGGCCGTCCGAGAGACAGATGCTCGTTTGACTGCTGTTCACGGAGGGGTGAACTGTCGGAACGGCTCGCAGATTCCACAAATCAGCACCTCCACAAAGCGAAAGCTTTTCTTCCGTTGAAAACTGTGAGGCATCGAACGTTATTTGATTCGTGGTGATACTTCCTACAGTAGTCGTTGTTGATTGTAGGTGGTAAGCAGATACTTTCATGATGATGCGATACGATCAGTTTGGGTTTTTGTTCTTGATGTTCCAATACTTTTAATTATGAGGCCAAATCACGAGTACGAGATCTACTTAGTGAATAACCTCGCTCTTCATTGTAACAAATGACACCGTTACTTATGACCCCTGACTTGTACCGGTATGTACAGCACTTCTAAAGAAATAATAAATTCATAACCTGTGAAATGTTGATAGGCTCCTTAGTGTACGTGAATACGTGGTTTACAATAAAGAGTGAGGTTATTCACTATCTACTCGTGATTGTGTACTGTCTCGTGTACGTGTACTGTCTCACATTTACTGTGTCGGTACAATCGGTACAACAGTATGTACGAGTACGTACTTTTACGTATGGGGGCTGAAATTTTAAGTATTTTTTTACACGAATCAATCAATCAATTGTGCGAGGACAGTCGTGGACCTCCGGGAAGTTAGTTTTATTTTTTAGCTTTCGGTTTCATGCTAAGATACGGTACAGTACGGCAAAATACCGGTACTTCAGTCTCGTTGTCAAAAAATTACGGGAAACAGGAATTCATGGAAAGCATGGTCACGTTTTAATGCTATTCCATCACCCTYTGCCAGGAATAAATAATTTGCTCTTCATCGGATCGTTCCGTAAGAATAAGAAGTTGATACTCCAGAAAGAGCCTCATTTTAGTACGGTGTGCAACTTGCACTCGGGTGCAAAATSATTTTMTGGTTTTCAATTGAGCGGGGCTACACAATCAAGAAGCTGAGCACAAAACGAACTTGAATACAAAACTAGTTACGTTCTCGTGGATTATAATAATCACCAGAGGAGGAGATGTTTTAATCGCTGGCTAAGGTTAAGTTAAGTTTTGTTCTGTATAACTTATGAATAAATTATGCATAGTTGCATTACGTTTTTATTATGATACATATTATTGTTTCTTTGGCACRTTTACTGATGAAATCAGTTCGCACAAGATGGATCTTTCTTGGAAAAACCCAATAATTTACAACGATTGTAAGTAAGTAATAGCTCTTGAGTCAATCGCCAAGTAACCAATAATCGAAGCCCCTTCCTCCCCTTTTTGTTTCAAGTCTTTCCCATTGATATTAGGCAAATGCCCGACTCCATAAGGATGTTGATGATGACGATGTCGTCGACGTGGCTCTGGTATCGGGTGTAACGGGTATTGCAGTCTTGCTATCATTGCTGTTGCTTTGTTCGTGACCTCGAGGTTGCGGAGATTGTGGAGGGATCGGCTCCCGATTGCGGTTTTGTCGCGCRGCTAGCAATCCTTCTGCTTGGCCCGGTCGTCCTTCAAGCCTTTCTCGCTCGTAAGCGGTTTCTAATTCTCCTTCGAGGTGGTCGTATCCTGTTGATCCTCCCAGAATAATCTCCTGWCCAATCTCGTGGCTGCTRGTCTTGTCCAGAACSAACGATGACGGACTCTCTGGGACAGTCGTCGCAGTAGATGTCGATCGTGAGGACGGCGAGGATGAATGAATTGCAGAGTGAAGATTCGTGATGTGTTTGTGGCGTGGCGCAAGCAATGGAAGGGGGGAAGTTAGCTGAGATGATTTTGTCCGCATTGCGTCTCCTTGTTGCCACATGATGGACTGTATATATTCAAGAAATTCTTGTTGGGGCCCGATGACCATTCCCGGTCGACATATTCGCATCCATCCGATCACTTCCTTCGCTGTCATTCGATAGTGTTTCATAAGATAGGCGCCGATGCAGGTCCCCGTCCTCCCGAGCCCTGCCTTGCAGTGAACGGCAAAGCCCTTGTCGTTGGGAAGTTTTTCAAAAGCAGCTAGCACACGTTGGAGTACTTCCATGCGCGGGCATGATCCATCTGTATAGACCTCTTCAAAATGATCCATACCAGCATTGATAAATTGAGTTTCATCGTATTTTTTCTCRTTCAGCCGCACAATCAAGCCAATATTTTTGCGTTTGAAGTAGGGAATGTAATCGTCCGGGCTTAGCGTACAGTATCCTTCTGGCGATACAGTTCTGACATAAGAAGGTCCTGCAAATGCCAAAATCTTGTCCTTGACAATCCAGTTCAAGTCTCCGTTCTATCGGAAAATTTTTATTGAAAAGAAACACGCAAAAAAAWTTATTGGCGCAATGAGACAACAAAATACGCTCTGAGATTGACCCTTCTGGAATGGACTGATGTGTCCTTTTTGGAACCTCCACACTCTCACACTTGATTTGTTCTACGCACCTCGACTTGCTCGAAATATTCGTACTCCTTAATATCGAATCGATCGCCCCAATCGAAAAATTGGAATTGACGGGCCTTGACGAGTGCACCAAGGCAATCGCGGAGGGTAAGTTGATAGGTACATTTGTAGGGACTTGCGTCATGAAASGGCGGCAATGGATTAATGGTCTGCGAACCAAGTCCGCTCAATGGTAGCAACGGTGGATTGGACCGGTTTACGTCTGAAGCATTGCTTCCGTTTGTTTTTGCAGTGYTGTGGTTAGCATTGTAAGCAGTTGCAGAAAAACCGAACATAGCGTCATCTGGAGTGCGATGCAATTCCAACACCTGCCAGGCACAGATCAAAAATATAGCACATGCCCGCTTGTTGGGATGTGTCGTCGAGTAAAACAAGACAGTAGACCCGTCTTTTTCTGCAAGAGCTAAAAGCCTATTCAGTTTTTTTGTGAAGCGCCAAAGTTGGCCCAAGTTAAGCGGACCAAAATCCAAAAAGAAATTCCAGTACACCAGCTCGTCATCGATATGAAAACAAAATACAGTCTCCTTTTGGTCCGGACTCGTACTGTTTGTATGCGGGTTGGGGATCAAAATTTTCTGGTTTTGTAGGGTTTCTTTGTTTTTCAGGGCACAATAATATAGCCGGTTCTGTTAAAACATAGCATACGAACAAGGCGTCACAGTCMAAAGCACAGGATGGAGTATGGACGACATAAAGTGTTCTATCGTGAGATGATGGGAGCATACACTATCATGACAAAAAATTCCTCACATACGCGAGCTAGTRAGGCAAGGAACAAACTTACGGGAATGACCTCTACCGCACCTCGAAGAGGATTTTTGCTTGTACCAGGCATTTCGGGAATCGGCATTTTTGGCTTGGTGGTATTCTCGAGATCTATCCAACTTTCCTCGTCCTCGTATAGTGGCTGYCGATTTAGTTATTGCAGAAARAATTCACTTCGCCCGAAACTCAAGAAAGAGGTGTTTGCTTCTGWCACTTCCGACAGTCAAATACCAAGCCTACCACTACTTTCCTTTTGGATCAGACAGATACAAATAATTAAATGGAGCAACGAAACACAGTAGAATGCGCTATTCAAACAACTTCCGTGAGTCTTCACGATGATCAGACTTATTCAATGGTTCCGTACTGGATAGTATACTTGCAGTGAAGTTCCGTTCCTATTCGTACTAATCAGAAGTTTCGAAAGGAACTCGAACCTTCCCGTTCACGTCAAGCGTTGAAAAGCCTTCGAAACACTGTGATGTCACCGTGCGAAAGTGCACTCCGCCCAATGTCGAATTTGGTACTTAGAAAGGGCGGGAACCTCAACCGTCTAGTAACGAATATCGAACGCATTATCCGCGACCAAAAATAGCTCGTTTCATCATGTTGCCTGAACGCGCATGGTAACTCAGAATGGTCACGATCATTTTCGATCTTCCCGATACCGTACCGTACGTACGTGCATGGTGCTTGGTAATTATTGTGAAGTGTGAATTGTGGTATGTCTGTAGGTACCGTACCTGGTACGTAGAAAGGTACGAAGTATATTGTACACTAATTTGCGAATTACAAGTACTTCGTAATCACGTACGAATTAMAGTACTTGGTACTGTATGAACCGTACAGCACGGCACTAGCAAAAAAATTAAATGGGGAATGAATGAATTACAGTATCGATTCTTGTGAATTTGGGGGTCAAATCAGAAACAACGTTGACTTTTGAATATGCAAATCTTTTTTTTCTTGCWCCGAAGAAGAAATATCTGGAAGGACAATGACGACGACAGAGCTTGACGATCGTCGACATTGAATGCAAGCACCACAGACGAGCAAAACTACGCGGGGAAATTCGAATAGAAAGCCATTTTCGAGGATGGAAAACAAACCAAGTATACATCGGTCACAGCCCTCGTYACTGATGAGAATATTTACCTCCACTCTCTCGATGGCGGTTTCAAYTATTTGCTTGTTGTTCTTGGCAAGCGGGCCCGCTCCTGCCAACTCGCTGCTACCGCAAGTACGCATCGCACGGAACAGTGACGCTTTCAGAGGAATCGCTCTCTGCCCGACTTCTCCTTCGCGAATTGGCTCTGCACCCAGCTCTAGCGCCCTTAAAGGTTCACTGACCCCTTTGCCAAGAGATATCTCTCCCTTTGACAAGTCGGCGTCRAAGGGACGCGATGTTCAGGGGGAACTGCGAAAATTAGCAACGGTAGCACTAGAACGGGCCCTCTCGTCGAAAGATGGCCCACCGACACGGTTAGAACTTGAATTTCCGCCATTGATTGGTGGCGATCAATCCAAAACCCAATTTGATGACTTTGACAGTGAGTGTTTGCAGTGCTTGTAATTTTTGTTTTTAATTACGAATCGACAACTTCGCCCCGTAAAATTTCAGGGTCCTTCCAAAAGACTAACATAAACTACGACGGATATTGTTCGCGTTGTTTTTTKGGGCTTTGACRACACCAATCCGTACCGACCTGACCTTGCTTCGCAGACGTCCAAGAACTCAACCAGAACCAAGCCTGGTGCGTCCAGTGGCTGCCCACGCTTGCACAATCCCTTAACCAAAAATCGGCCGACGACAAACGGGTTTGGTTTGTTCTGCCGGATACCAAGGAAGTGGAATTGTGCAAAGAGGAGTGGGCCGGAGAACGCTACCGYCAATCCGCGGTCTTTAGCTGCATCGAAGCGGTGGCGCAGCACTATGCAACCAGCAATGGGGGCGATGAAAACGAGGCAGGCTATAGCAAGCCCTGGGGCGCCACCTTTGCCAGTGCCGTCAATCGTCTCGTGAAGGGGGGAGACGATGAGGAGGGCAGCGGAACGGGATTGCTGGGCGACGAACGGGCTCTTGATTCTCTCTCAGACGCTGGTTCGCCGTCCCTGCATCTTGTGTGCCAACCCGGAAACGGAGGACCCGTAGAGGACTGGATCAATGTGAAGAAATTCCACGACAATGCTGCGAAACTGAGTTCCGGCGTCGGTCCGACGACGATCGTGGTGAACGGGGCCCTCGACAAGGTCCGCGAYGGATACTATGCCCCGTTCATCTTCCCAGCCCTAGCGAAGACATTCGACTTTTATAAAAGCTTCCAGCCCATCCTCTTCCTGAAACCCGTTTCCGACAAGGGGCTCTATGGGTGGCTATTTAAAGTTTACGGTGAACCTTGGCAAGTCTTTCTGCAAAAGCCGAGGACTGTCACAAAAGCCTCTGGTACAACTATCGAGGTGGAAGACATCCAGGCGCTGGTATCTGACACGCGGCCGACCTACCAGGAATGCATTCAAGCCCTACTGGCTTGCAACGTGGAAGCGAACTAGAAACAAGCTAACTACTWATACGAATATCATTTAACTKCAGGCAATGATCATATGTATTCTTTATGACCCTACTACTGAATGGCAAGAGTCTCGAATGGTCCCAATGGGAAATGATTTGTGTCTTGGAACGAAACTAACGTAATGCCTGGAGATATTTTGATATAAATTGTTCTTATTCTCCACTTCTTACAAAGTGGAAGTTGCCGTGAAAGTKTCAAATGCAGTGGACTGATTTTTTCCAGTCTCTTCTTCTGTTCTCCAGCTGTTGACATACTGTTTCAATTCTTTGTAATACTCAATGGTGTAGAAATTGTGGTGCGCCATGATGATGTAATCCCCTGCCATATTTTTGTCAATAGCATTGGCGTTCTTCTGAGCAGAGCCATCCACCGGACTCAGAATCCGGCTGGAAATKCGGTGCATGTGGCGAAAGTCCTTGCTTAGGTCTCCAAAGTTCACCGTCATTGGGTCGTAACCTAGCTTCCAGTAAGGCCCGTGGTTAGAAATCTGAAAGCCCGTGTAGGAGGGATAGAACATGCACAGGCTTTCGTTGTCACTCCAAAGGTAGGCATCCGCGTACAAATCGTATTTGTAGGGCATGTTGTCTTTTGCCGGGCCGATGTTAAATACGAGCATCCCGTAGTCGCACGGAGCATTGATGTCCCTTCGGTAGGAGGTAGTGCCATCAGAGTTCATGGTGGACGAATAATGGACCGAGCCCGTGTGGTGCGGGTGGATCGGGGGGAGCGGAGGAAAKTCCAGAGAGCCATCGGGATTTTTCGTAGAAGTTCCACCTCGAAGCATAGAAGAGGACTTCTSCGTCCCTTTTTCTTTCGTTTTATCGATCGCGAGCAACATCAGAGGCGACCCCGATGTAGAGGCGGAATCACGGTTTTGATCCAGAACGAAGACGTCTTCCGTCTCTGTACCGGCGACCGAGGCTGCGATGGGAAGCAACAGAGAGAGAAAAAGTGTCACTGCTGTTATCATGGTTGGGCTGATCATTGTGAGGGATGCTGGTTTGATATTGTTTGTTCTACAACATGCTTGCGCTAATTTAACAATGAAATGGCACGAATCATTTCTGTCGTGTTTCTTTCTGGATTTGATTGACCGTTGGTATTTCGATGTTCCATGTTCAGCGTCGTGCATGCGCACGTTTATCATTCCTACCGTACGAGTTACCGTACGAACCATATTCAAAATCCTACGGTGTCGCCTTGGGTAGTTCCGTAGCCTACGTAAGTACGTATTAGTGCTGCTTACTGTACTGGGTGATGTGATCTGATTTGTTCTTCTTCGAACGAATAAGATATCAATCGAAAACCCGTCCGCGTCTCCWTATCCATCTTCGAATCGTCTCCGGGCAGTACGAACAACAAACTCGACTCCATCACTTCATTGCTACTACTAGTAGTGTCGTCGTACTATTAGTTCTTGTAGCCATTCTGAGACAATCAATTTTGATATACAAAGAAACCAACTACCATCAGCGAAATAAAATTGTCAATAACCAATTTCTCACTACAAGTAGTACCCCTAGCAGTAGTGTAGTACTMGTACTACAAGACAACAAGAACCTTTTGTATTCCTACTAGTAGTACGAAGTAGTACGAGTACTATTACATTAGTCTGGTAGAAGTACTAGTATTTGGCGTTTGAAAGTGTTGACGAGGTGGCTATTTTTCTGCCCCAGCTCCAGATGCTTGCTCGATACTAGTAGCTGCAGCTCCCTCTTGAAGTCCTACTACTAGTAGTAGTAGCTAGCGACTTCTTGTTGAAAGTATGGTTCAAGAAGATTATGATTGTATAGCAGAAAGTAAGGTTTGTCTGCTGTTCCTCGGAACGYATGCAATGTAAAGAGCTAGTGACAGAATGGTTCTATTTSAATTGACAACCTGAAGGCCGTGATAGATCGAAGCAGCGCAACTTATCATTTCTCTAGACTGAAGCAGTAGTATTAGATTATCTGGTCTCGGCTTGTAGCAGGYGTGCGGTACGTCTTTCGTTCGGCTTATGTARCTTCGAGTGAAATGGCAAAGTCGAAACAAACGAATGCTGCTGCACATTATCAGYAAGAATCGATGGTGTAGCAAAACTTGAAACATCCAATGGCGAATGGATGAATGAATTCGATCTGAAATGGTGGGTAATCGAAGAATTTCTGAGATCCTTTGCTTTTGCTACTACCGAATCGAAAAGAAATAGATAGGAATTTTGGCAAGCCTAGAGGAATGCCGAACAATGGCATTGCGACATTTCCGTGTCGCAACCTGATCGCCTTTTGTATTATTGCAACGCAAAAGATACTTATCTACAAGTCAATGCCCCAAGAAAATCAGGTGACACACACAAGAAGTCAATTCTCTTCGAGCAGCTGTAGTTCTGATTTTTATGGCATTCATTGATACAAAGATTGATATAATACTACTAATTTTAGTAGATTTCGATCAGGTTCTAGTTGGTTTAGGCATWTATGTTATATCTATCCGTAGGGGCCGATAGTTGGCACCGCATGGSTTTTCGTATCTAAAATCCGTSRAACACGGCAACGTAATGCTCTCTTGTCTTGTTGAGATCAATTGCTTTACATCTAAAAGAAAGTGAACCATAACATTGCTTGTCATTGGGAACCACGATGGGATTCGGGCCTAGAGTTCGCCTTCGACGATTTCATCATCGTCATCTTCGTCGTCTTCATCATCTTCATCTTCATCGTCTTCGTCATCATAAACGTCGTCATCATCATCTTCTGAGTCTGCTGCAAAGACAGCGAATGAAGAAAGGGCCATCACAGTACCAACCGAAAGTGCCGAGCGTGTAGAAGACATCGACACCGTTCGTGCCATCGCCGTTTGTGGCATTGTCAAGGCGGCAAGGAGGGCCAGAAAGACCGAGAGAAGCATAGTCAAGCGAAACATGATTGCCTAGGTAATTAGATATKCAAGTGGCAATGGATATGGGAGCAAGATATTGGTYAAARATGATATTGTAGTACCGAACAGTGAACAATAACTTCAGTGTCTGTTGTAATTACCGTTGTAATAGTAGAAAAGAGTATCGGTAATGAYGATACAGTAATTCTTTTCTCCAGAAGATTCCATCAAACCGCAAGACACACCAAACAAATGCAGAAATGACTTCACGAGCGAGAAACACACCGTAGATTTGTGGAGTAAAGCGGTCATAAACGGGTGTGCGGCCTCGTACGTACAGGTACGTACAAGTTCTACTGATCCAACGGTTTTGCCACGTAGCAGTTTTTTACTCCTGTTATACTTCTTCCGGTCTACTACTATATGTGACATTGTGTCCCTGTTTTACTGGTCCTGAATATGTGTCAATGCAGTTGGGCCTATGTAGGATTGTGTACATTCATTACCAGGAAATTCCTTTGTCACTATTACTCTTATTTTAACTACTTGTTACTAGTATCACTACTACTACTANCCTATGTAGGATTGTGTACATTCATTACCAGGAAATTCCTTTGTCACTATTACTCTTATTTTAACTACTTGTTACTAGTATCACTACTACTACTAGTAGTACTAGTACTACTATGCTTCTTCTTGTTGTTCTTGTTCCTCAGCAGCAGCAGCAGCAGCAGCAGCAGCAGCAGCAGCAAGAACTTGCTGCCCTCCTCCTGCTGCTGCAATGTACTAATCAGGCTCGCAAATAATTGAACCTGGGAGCACACCCACACACATCAGGCTTGCTTTTCCAAAATGGGGAAGAAGCTTCTTGTAGTTATTCTTATCACCACCCCCACCAACACCAAGTGAGGCTTGCATACAACAATCTTGCAGGGACAAAAACACATTATTCAATGTTTTCCAATTGCACTCCTCAGCATCAAAAGCTTGCTTTACGACATTTTGAATCAAATGATCAATCCCCTTCGATCTTTTCTTGTACTGCAAGCTTTGAATCAAATTCTTGAAGAATCCAACAAGACAGCACCAACAAATCCCCCTAACACAGCAGTTCGCAGGAGGAGTGCTCACTACCATACTAGTAACATCCCCACTACTACTAGTAGTAGTACTAGTAAGTAGTAATAGAGGTTTTCCAGTAGTGAGGACTCATAGTAATTCTCAAGAGGTGACAAATGAATTCACCTCTCCAGCAGTAGTAGTAGTAGTAGTAAGGACCACTAATATAAATATTTTGGGACTGAACTTAACAATTTTGTGAGTGTTTGTGTGGGGACCATCAAAAACCAGCCAGAATTTTGCTCTCTACTAGTAGAAAAACTGTGGGTGGAAACTGCTCAGGGGTCTATTTAGTCAAGCTGGGTTAATCTTGCCAGGACTCAATAATGAAAAAAAACTGATGGGGGCCTACCTATGGTAAACAAAAACCAGGGATGTTAGGAAACAACAACACATTACCAGTTATGTTAAGCTACTGTACCCAAGACTACTCCGACTAAGTAAATATGATGCTTATCTCCTACTTAGTATACAAGTACAAAATGGCATGCACCCAACCCCAAGAAAGTAGCTTTAAGTAAAGTAGCTTTAAAGTCGCTTACTAAAAGTAGCTTTTTGGTAGCTTTAAAGCTACTTTTAAGCAACTTTTAAGCTACTTTAGTAAAGTACTAGTAGTAACTGTTCTTTAGTAGTATGTAGAATTCAGCGGATACTAGTATAATTTGTACGTGATATTTAAAGCTACTTTTAAGTAACTTTTAGGTAACATTGAAGTAGCTTAAGAGTAGCTTAAAAATAGCTTTTAAGTCGTTTCCGGTAGGCAATAGTACATGAAAAGGGCTGCAAATCAACAACAATAACCAACACATTGCTCTGCTTCTTGACTTAGTCAGACTAGTCGTGGTTCCAGTAGCTTAGAGTAACCGGTAATATGAGTCATTTTGTTACGTCCCAGAAAACGATACGGAATCTTTTACTACTTTGTATTTGGAACTGGAACCATGTCGATTTCATTTTTTGAAAAAAAATTAGATTCCCAGGTCCCCCTTCTGGTACCGAAAATTGTGATCAGTTTTGATCACAAAAAAATGTGATCAGAAATAACAAATTTGTGATCAGTTTTTTGTGATCAATCTTGATCACAAATTCGAACTTATGTGTGTATAATTTCTACTAGTCCCGTTTTTATATTATATTTTAATATCCGAATATGAATCATACAAGTATTTTTACGCGTTTGTACTACTACTAGTATTAGACCAGTCCTGTAATGTACCAAGAACATAGCAATATGCCCTATTAAGAATTAACCCGACGTGCTACTAATATGACTAAGTATGACTATATATATGAATATATATATATATATGTAATTGAAATATTCATGAAATAATAAAGTACATATTAATTCTAATCCGTTGGAAAAAAATGTGATCAAAACTGATCACAAAAAATTGTGATCAAGAATTTCATCAATTTTGTGATCATTTCTGATCACATTTTTTTGTGATCAAAACCGATCACAAAATGAAAAAAGGGGACCGGAGAATTTAATTTTTTCCAAAAACATCGAAATCGACATGGTTCCTGGAACTGGAACTGGAACTGGAACCGGAACGGGAACGGGAACGGGAGTGACATGAGACATGACCCACTTTGATCATTTGTACGGTAACTGGTACACCATTCTCTCACCAGACTGATCCTGAAAGAAACTCGTACCGAAGCTGTTCTGAATGATCATATATCGTCGCTAGCGGCAAAAGCGACTGCTTTTGTTACATCACTTACTCCAGTTCACAGCAGCCATGCCCATCGATTATTATTCACCATGTCTGTATGGATGCAGCCAGGAGGCAAATTCAGAAAGAGGATTTGTACACGCTGAT